CAAGTACTCTACAAGATATTCCATTAGCAATTTTCTCATACCTACAACATCCCTTGGAAAAACAGACTTCTCAATAACATGTCGAGGACCACGTTTGTGGAACTATTTCCTGAAAAGAGACATGAAAAACATGACTTCAATTAAACTATTTAAAAGAGCCGTTAAACTATACTTATTAGATTTAAATAATAAAAACATTCTTTTGTATTTTTAAAAAAACATTTATATATTGATTTGTTAACACGTATATATGCTTGTGGCCTATGTATATTTTGTGAACTGTGATGTGATGTATTATGTACAAAACTTGCAATATTTATAAAACTTATACAACGTATATTTTAAGAAGTTAATACGTAAAACTTTATTGATATTTTCACGAACTTAGGAGCAGGGTGATAAGACACATTGTCTTCTGCTTGCTCCTGTCAGAATATAAATATTTAATTTTTAATTTTTACAAAAAACATTGTAAAATGATTGTTTATTGATGAAATATATATATATAAATAAAAAAAAAAAAATTAGTGCTAAACAAACCAGTCGACAATGAGCATCTGTTGTTGTTTAATGTTGTTTAATGTTGTTTAATAAAAATTATTATGCGTAAAAAGAGCTTTATATTCGTTTTTATTTTATTAAAATCGAACGGTAAATAACCGAAATGTGCACAAAACGAAGGTCAATATTTTACTAAACTTTTAAAAATTCCGATTTTAGAGGGGTATAAAGATCGCCCCAGCGCGACCTCTAAATATTAACCGATTTAGCTGATTTTTTTGGTACAATGTTTTTTTTCATAAATGAACACATTTAGACCTTAAGAATAACAAAAACTAAAAAAAAGTTTATTTGGATCACCCTAATGCATGTATATATATATATATATATATATATATATATATATATAATATATATATATATATATATATATATATATATATATATTTTAAAATTTTCTTTTGTTACATTCTTTATGAACTGAATTAAAATACTAACTCTTCTGAACCGCATGACTAAAACGAAAAAAATAATATCATATCATTGATAAACAAATACGTCTAGCATCTTAATCGCATCTATATGATCACCGAATCTTTTTACTCAAATGAATCTTAAAATTACACTAATCTTAGTTGTTATTTAGTTAATAAATAAACAAAATTAATATTAGTATGATTCCACTAGGTACATCTAAATCCACTTCAAGGTTTTTCAATAGATTGGGTTGAAAAATTTAAAAAGCCAAATGATGGTGTCACTGTATGTGAAGCCAATATTATCAAACGTTGGTGCGTTTACCTTTACGCTTCTACCGACAAAATGCTAAACCACTGTTACAGGATGGTTAACTTCCAGAAGTATCACACATGCAATATTTGCAGATGATAAAAAAAAAAAAATTATAACCAAATACAATGTTCAACGTAATAAAATATACGTTGTGAGGAAGAACATTGTATTTATTTATATATACATATTATATATACATATATACATATTATATATACATATATACATATTACATTACATATGCATATTAATCAAATATGCATCAAATCTTTGATGATAGCTAACTTACTAAAAGATCATTCACCTTCAAAATATTGAAACGGGCAATGTTTGAAAGTATTTAAATGAAAAATACACTTGTGGAGATATTGAAATCAACTCTTTCGCATAAACTGTATATAGAAGTATAACAGGCTTTTTTCTGGCTAGAATAATTCTTCTTACGGAAAAAAAACGCCAAACTTCATCAGAAAATTCATTTTTACATATGTCTTCTGGGTAACATTTTGCCAAATTCTCTACTTTTAAATCTAGTTCTTTGTCTGTTTTTAGATTTCTGTGAAGACCAAAGGAAAGAAAATTTGTTATATTTTTCATAAAAAACTTAAATTCTTGATCTCATATAACTAGTTAAATTCTCGAGTGCATAATTTCATTAAATTTCAGCTTCTTTGAAATTGCAACTTCTGTTACCTATATTCTATTACCTATTACCTATATATATATACTTCAATTTTTAAATTATAAATGATATAACTCAAATCATAAATTAAAATTTAAAAACATTATTCTCACTCCTAAAAGCTAAATTTCCTGAAGCCAGAAAAATTTTGACTTAAAGAATGCATTATAAAATTTCTATCGCTTTGTTTCATCTCAAATTTTATTTCATGTCCAAAAGAACTTTTACGTGCCGTTAAATAAGAAGATAATTTTTACTACGCAAAAGGCCAACAAAAAAGCGTGGGTTTAAATGGAAAATAAAAACTTTAAAGTCAAGTAAAAATAATCCTTTTTTAAATGTAAACATAATGTATTTATAAATAAATTTTTTCTGTATTTACTTTATATACTCGATGGAACATTTTATTTATTACATTTGTAGATAGAACATGATAATACTGAGGTAACGATATGTCTTATTAAGTTATCCAACATCATTAATTTTTTTATATATTTCATTATAAATAAAGTTTTGGTTGAATAAAAGATGAAACTCGAATTTTATATTAGCCACTATCAAAATACTACATTAATGCAATCAAACAATGCAGTTATGCAATGAACACTCATTAGATGCACGACTTTTATAATTATTCATACTTTTTAGATATTTTATTCATATTTTCACTTATATTTTTAACTTTTAGATTTTTTCTTTAAAAATTATAATTAAAGGTTTTTCAGCATTATAAAAGTATGGTTTTAATAGTTAGTTGAATAAGCTTTTTTCTGTAAAATAATATAGGTTATTAATTTGTCGATTTACGTTAATATTTAATTTTATGTAGTTTTAATAAATATTTAATTTTGTAAATTTCTTTATAATTACAGTTATTGTCGAATAAAAAATGAATATAAATAGAATAGTGTATAGTGTTAAAAATAACATATTAAAAAATTGGCTTCCATTGAGTGCCATTTTAATAGTGAGACTATCTTTTATGGAGGAATGCATGGTACGCCACGGTTATTTACAAATTTTTAATCAAGATGAAGAGCAGCAGGAAGATGGGAAGAATTTTTTCTGAAAAAAAAATGAAGAATATTTGAAAGGCACCACTAAATGTACAACACCTGAGAAGATTGTGAATAATGATAATTAAAAAGGAACATGTGAGCCTTTGCAATCCTTTGCTTCATCTAGTAATAGATCAAATAGGCAAAAGACTCGGGAAGAATGTTCTACTTTTTTTTGCAGAAGAATTAGTACATGCTGCTTAAATGAGTTTAAGGACTTTTGGTCAAATACATGCAGCTCAAGTTGATAAAGATGACACGTTAACAACCACAACAAGAGCCTTAAAGTATATATCTATTATTCGGTCACAAGATAAAGTAGCTTTACCCCAAATGAAGCTCTTTCTTTAATAATCAAGAAAGCAGAATCAAAGCATTCTTATAAACTATTAAGTAATGTAGCTAGAGCATATAAATGTAAATTATACCCATCATACCTTGAAGTAGAAAAAGCAAAAAAAATATTGTTATTCATCATTTGTTTACACAATTGTTAGTGAGTCGTGCGCACAAATTAAACTACAGGCTTTACTTGATTATACAACATCTAGAATTATACAACTTATGCTGATGTCATTGATACTCTAAATTTGGAAATTCTGAAAAAATTAGTACTTCACTGTAAACGGGGATGTGATGGAAGCAGCGGTCAAAGTGTTTATAAACTAAAATTTACTGAGACTGGAAAATCTGATGAAAGTATTATTTGTACTTCTCTCGTACCTTTACAATTACCAACATTGAATAGCAGATTGAAGTTTGTACACCATATGCTACGGAACAAAATAGAAATTCCATTTCAGTAACTTATTGTATGTCCTTTAAAATGATAGACGGTAAAGTCTGTAGTCCAGTAACTGGTACCACTTCTCCACAACGTTGCTTCCTGTGCAAAGTTTCCTCTGAAGAATTTATTGACATTAACATCATTATAAAAATGGATATTACTTCAGATAATTTAAGATTTAGCGAATCTACATTGCATGCGTGGATAGTAATACCACGAATATAAAGTGTTAATCCATGGAGCAGATTTTGTAAAATAAACCCTTTTACCAATCAGATAACCTTCTGAAGATGTTCAAGATTCACGCAATAAGGACATAAAAAACTTCAGATTGCATCATTCAAAAAAATGCTCAATAGAATTGAATATGTGAGGCATTTTTAATAGGCTCTTATTAACATCAGATCCATTCCTCTCGATCATCAAAAAATAGCCCTAGAGACCGACAAAATCCCTACATCAAGAAGCTATACAATTGTTAAAACAACCTCAAGTTACCAGATAAGAGACAAGGAGTGATTCCGATTTAGATATATGTGGTTCAATATCAGATTCGGAATAGAATGCTTTGAACATTGATGAATATGATATACGTGATTTTTGTTACTAGGATTAAATAAATAATTTTTTTACCATTTTACTTATATCATGTTTCTCCATAATAAATTTATGCACAAATTAAAAAAAAAAAAAAAATCTGTTTATTTATTAATAATATGAATTTGGCAATAAATTTACAATGTTTTTGCTCTAATTTAACTCCTAAATCATAAGCAATGAGCTAAAAAACCAAACCACATGAGATTTCACTACATGAGTTTTCATATTTTCAACGTATAAACAGTTTTGGCCGCCATATTTGAACCATAATTTTGAATATTTTGAATCTGACTTGATATTCGTAATCAGCGACCTCGAAAACTCTCATGAAGGTAATTTGAAAACTTTGGCCACAAAATCGGGATTTCGTCTGAATGTGCGGCGGTATAATTCGCTAGCCCTTTTTTTTATCAAATTAGATCTGATTTTTTCCTGGTCAGAATATTATCAGGGAGATAAAGACGCGCTGGAAAAAACCAAATGCTACCAAAACCATTTCTTTTATTAAATGCTAGTCCAAAACCATGCTATTAAAATCATTTCTAATTAACATAAAACCTCTAAGCAGATAATTCAAATATGAAACGACTTCAGTTTTTGCTTAAATTCTTACTTAATACAAATAATCATAAAAAATAATAAATTATTGATATATTTCTTCTTCAATGTCCATAATATTTAATTTATTAATTCTTTCACGTTTGATCTTTTATTAGTCCAATGGGCAACCTTCATACAATCAATAAACTTTTTGAATAAATCTTCATCGAATATTTGATCGATTGTTTCACTTATTTCATTATCGAGTTTGCTCTCATTCAATAAGTAATTAAATTTCGAAAGTAAGTCATCGAATGAAGTGTATGTCGATTCAACAGCATGTAAGTCTTCATTTTCCACTAAAAATAAACAATAATATCAAATACGAAAATAATTAAACTACTACTTCGATATCAGGCAAAAACGAAAATTAGCGTTACCATTTAATAATAATAATAATAATACCAACAATGATAATAGTAATAATAACAATAATAAAATAGAAATAGAAATTTATAACAAATGCGAAAATTCTTATGTGACCATTTGCAAGCAGAATAACTAACGAAACACCGATATGATAAATGTCCGTTCTTTTTTTTTTCGGATTAAAGGTTAAGGAAGAAAGAGGTCCTGATATTAAATATTAGAGTGGGAGATTCGCATGTCTACAAACTAGACAAGTTAGGAAAAATGCAAATAAAGATCGTTTGGAAGATACTGTGTTCATTTACGCTAAAAATCTCATTCGTGGGTAGCTAAAGAATAAGAGGATCACCACGAACGTAAAGAACTGTTTGAACTGAACGAGAAGAACTGTTTATTTAGCAAGTTTCACATCCCAGTTCGGTCAGATGTTAGCACGCCGTCGCCATTCTTAAGAGCTAAAATATAATCTTTGCAATCTCTGGCCTTTTTTATTGTCATAAAGAAGCCAAGGGCTACGAGGCTTCGTTTGTGTGTACAGAGCTTCAATAATTGCACGAAACTTTGTTGAAAAATGTTTTTTAAAGTTGCTTGTTAAATAAAAGAATATTGTTAACAAACCAAAATATAAAAAGGAATCATTTGATTATCGTACACAATAGGAAGTGATAATTAATTGTCACTTCCCTACGTTTTAAGTTAACCAATCATCATAATCTATTTGAATGCTTGATATAACAATTCACAAAACTAATATATTTTTTAAACTACAGACGGCAATCCCTCTGATATATAATACTTATTTAAGTAAAAATTAAAATCTTACTGATTTTTGAAGATACTCGATTGAATTCTGTTTGACAGTCGGCGTCGTATTTTCTTAAAGGCTCGCTATCATATTCTGCAACTTGTATGGTTTTAATATTAGGGCCAGTTTTTCTTTCTGATTGTGTTCGTGTTGGCGTCATTGTTTTTTTCTTTCTTTGTTTAAACCAACCTAATGTGCAATCCTTGATATTAAGTTTTTAGTTTTTTAATGTTACAAATTTTTTTGTGACAAAACAGTTGACAATTTCTATTAAAATAAATCATAGACAAAAATTTCTCAAACAAAATTTTATTTTTTGTTTATTTGTATGGCATATGTGAATAGGAATAAATATTTTCTATTAGTTGTGATTGTACTTGTAGTGAACTCAATTAATTCATTAAAAAACATTAAATAACGAACTAAAAACACTAAAGATACCTTTTAAGTGTTCCAATATAAAATTAACCATCTCATAATCATTATTTTGGCAATCAGGATTTGTACGAACCATGCTAAAGGCATCGTTTAAAATGGATAGGAACATGTTCATTATGATCCAAATTATTATAACATTGAAACTAAAAAAAAATATTGGCCCCAGAACAATGTTAGCGTGTTTATATTGATTAAAACTGAATTTTCCTAACAATAATGAAAAAGTTGAAACTATTGACTCGAAATACGTCTTGTATTCACCCATTAATGCACCTAAAGCAATTTATTTTAAATAAGAAATTTAATTAAAAAAAAAAATCTTAAAACATCAATACCAGAGAATTTATTAACACAAACAAAACTGCACCAAGAGCAATGAAAAATTTTATCAAACAAAATGCGATAATAAAGAGCAGAGAAACATTTATTTACACAAATGAAACTAATTTTTTATTATCAAAATAATAAATGAAAGTATGTAAAAAACTTCACTCTTTATAAACAATTAGAATCATATTTATAAGTTTCCAAAACCAGTTAAAGTTGATTTATTTATGATTTGTTCGGAATTGCATTCTCTGAAAGTTATGTTTGCTTGGTCATTGCACAGAGATTACAAATAATAACTCTAACTTGATTGGTCATTGCACAGAGATTACAAATAATAACTCTTAGATTAAGCCATGTTAACAGTAATTCTTTACAATATTTTTTAATTTGACAATGTCAAAAAATCATTTCAATAAGATTTCATATTCATATTTTATAATAAAAATGTTTATAGAGAGTATGATTTATACATTTTATATATTCAATAAAAACTAAGTTTACAGCAACCGCAAAAAGTATTGTGACAAGTTGCAGATTTTATTAGTATTTATTCATGTTCCTGTGAGATTTTATTACTTCTTTTAGAAGAATTTGCATAGATAAAGCAAGGCTATTGTATGACTCTTTGCAAATTTGCGGGCACCAGGTTAACTTGAGAGATCAGTTAATTTCTTCATTGATGCTGATTGTGGTGCTGTACCTTGTCCTTCATTATTTCCCGTAGGTTTTCAATTGGGTTGGGATCAGGGCTGTTTCCTGGCCGTTCTAGAACATTTATATTATGTTCATGAAGGCTTTATTTGACTTTTTTGAACGTGTGGCAAGGAGATGTCATGTTGGAGTATTGTTGTTTCATGGAACCGCATAAATTACAAAGGATCAAGGTCTTTAATATAACGATCTTCATTCATTAAAACATTGGAGGCAAGAAATAAAAGCCCCCTTGTCCAACTTCAGAAAAACAACCTCAAACCATGACACCGAGGGAGTGTTTCATAGTCTTTTGCATGTAGACTGGACTGCAGCGGTTGTTGCCTATCGGCCCAAGCACTCTCATTTGACAACTTGAAAACGTTGCAAGCTTTGACTCATCGCTAAACATTAATTTTTTTCCAATTGGCAACATCCCAATGCAGGTAACGTTTAACAAAATCGAGTAGCATCATCATATGGTGACTCTGTGATGAGAGTCACCATATGATAATGCTGCACTGTCCTAATGGAGACGTTTCTAAGCAATTCAAAATTCTCAAACTTTAATTGGCGTGCAAAAAAAAAAAGGATTATTAACTACTGCAGGTTTTACAATTTTATTTGCACTTTTAGCTGTTTTACTTATTTAGGGGGTATTGCGCTCAGGATCTGCCAAATATCGTTTCAGCCATCTTGCTACCATCGAATGATGTCGATTAATTTCTTTATCTATTTTGCTGAAAGAAGTGACACAACCTAATACGGATGAAAACTCCAATATACTGAATTAAAACAGTTTAGTATGCTTTAATATAGAGAGGAATTACTGCTAATTATACAAGAACACGGTTGGTTTTAATAAAATGAGTGTAACTATTTTAATTAATTTTTTTCTTCAGAGATCCAAATTGCAAATTTTTTTAGCACTTATTGCAATAAATTTTTCGAACACTGTATATTCTAAGTGATTATCATAATCGCTTATAATTAATACTTAACTTAACGCTGCCGCTGCTGCTCACTATTCGTGCACCTTTACACGGACTTTTTTACCATACTTGGCCTTTGAGTTTTATTATAAATTGCTTTACTTCTGAACTCGCCTAATGAGGCTCTTTCAAATCTTAATAATCTGTCAGTATCTGCTTAATCAGTAATGAGATCAAAAACTTTGTTTCTTCAGCTTAATTAGTGATAAGATCAACAATTTTTATTTGATAACTTCTGTAGTAAAGGATGAACATTATGTTATTATTGAATTAGTAAAGTAACTTTTAAAGTCAGGTGATTTATTTAAATCATGCTTTTTAGTCTTTTGTCAATTGTATTTAAATTTATTAATTTATAAAATTAATCTGTAATTTTTAAATTAAAAGACGACTCAAGAAGACGTTGCTCATTTCAAAGGTCAAGAGGTCAAACTCTTGATAAAGTTAGTGTTTAACACACTTGCATCTCACATGGTCAACTCAATGTTACATGTTAAAGAACAAGATCGTTTAATACCTTATTTAAAAGAAGTTATAAAAGTCCGTATAAAAAACCAGATTGTTTGATAGTTTGTTTTTGAAAGTTGTTAAACATTTATTACGAGGTATTTCAAAAAACAAAAATAAGGTTGTATTTGTAAAGTTTCAAATTTATATATTTTTCTTAATTTATATATTTATCTATATATGTGTGTTATTTATATTGTGTTCTATTGTGTATATATGTGTTAAGGTTATATGGGTTTATATTTTGTAAGTGTGTAAATATATGAAATGTTTCAATGTTTGTGGTGTGTTATATGTAATATGTTTATAGTTTGTAAGTAATAATTATGTTGTTTGCATGGTTTCAAATTGTTGTGACTGGGCTTAGTTTACAGCAAGATTGTTGACCTTGCTAGCCAAGTGGTGTACTTTGCTATAATGTGACCTGGCTTTGTTGAGAGCAAAAATATTGTCCTCGCCAGCAGAGTGGTGTATTGTCATAATAAAACACATAAATTAATTCTGTTTGTAATTAGTGTATTTCTATAATGTGTTGAAAAAATATTGCTGAAAAAATGTGTTTTAATGTTGTTATCCACTGTTCTTAACAATGTATGCTTTTGACAATAAATAAATTTTGTTAAAAAGCAGGCTTTACTAACAGCTCCTCCTCATTAAAATTTTTAAGAGTTTCGATTTTCTTCATTAAATATGTTTAACTCAAATTTTTTTTATATATATAAAAGTAAGTATACAGCGTGTTGAAGCATAAGTTATAATAACTTTTGTTAAATTTTTAGGATTTTTTGTATAGAGAATGTTTTCTTTATATTATTATTTTAATGTTTTGTATGTACATCAATTTATATATATATATATATATATATATATATATATATATATATATAATATATATATATATATATATATATATATATATATATATATATATATATATATATATATATATATATATATATATTATATATATATATATATATATATATATATATATATATATATATATATATATATATATATATATATATATATATATATATATATATATATATCACACAATAAAATATATAGAATTAAAATGTCTATACATATATTATATGTATAGACATTTTAATCTTTTTGCCTTAAATTATTGTCCCTTTTTCTTTAGAATATTAAATATCTAAAAAAAAATTAAAATAGTAAAAGAAGTTTCAATATTTCCAAGTTTCTTCACTTGAAGCAAATATATGATTGTTTATAGAGGTTCTTTTAGTAGTTTTGTATTTATTTATTGCAAATCTTGCGTTAAATGCCTTTCAAAGTAATGAAAGGGTTTTGTTGATGGATGATTACATTTTATCCTTCCATGCTAGCAGTACCTGCTGAGTTGACAGGCCTTAAATTTTTTTAATTTGCTTTATTTATGAGTTCTTATATGTAAAAAATTTGTTTTTTAAATTACATTTGTTTTTTTTTGTTTTTTTTTTATTAAATACTTATAATATTTTGTCAATAATTAATAACAACTACCATAAATATATAAACAATACTTAGTTGAAAATATTACATTAATTTATAACTTTAGTTTAAGTTTTTAATAAAACTATGTTATCTTAACACAATGCTATATATGGTAGAATATAATAGATTATAGTATTATGCTCTGTATTATTTGCTTACACTTTATTTTAGATAAGTTTAAAAAAGAAACTTCAACTTTTATTATATTAGGCATCATTTTTACACACTCCTTTGATGCCTAATTATGTCTAATAATTTAAGAAATGAAATTATTAGACTTCGTCAAAATGAAAGAAGGCAGGCTAGGCGAGCTGAGATAAACCGCCATCGAAATGAAAGAGATGAGCCCAGGCGAGCTGAGATAAATCGTCGTCGAATTGAAAGAGATGAGCCCAGGCGAGCTGAGATAAATCGTTGTCGAATTGAAAAAGATGAGCCCCGGCGAGCTGAGATAAATCGTCGTCGAATTGAAAGAGATGAGCCCCGGCGAGCTAAGATAAATCGTCGTCGAATTGAAAGAGATGAGCCCCGGCGAGCTGAGATAAATCGTCGTCGAATTGAAAGAGATGAGCCCCGGCGAGCTGAAATAAATTGTAATCAAAATAAAAGAAAGAAGGCTAGGCGAGAACTTAATAGGTATAATATGCATCGCATAGCAAGAAATAATATTGCTATAGAGAGTAACTACCTCGGAGAATTAAACCATAATTGTCAGTATTGCAGTGCAAAGAAGTTTTTAAATGAAACTCATTTTTTGTGCTGCCATTCAGGAAAAGTTGTATTAGCTCCTCTTTCTCTTTATCCGCCATTGTTGACTGGTTTAATGACAGGAAACCATGTTGATCATGCTGTAAATCAAAATTTTTTTAAACACATAAGGAGTTATAATTCCTCTTTATCTTTTGCTTCCTTCACTGCCGAAATAGCTCCTCCCTCAAATAATGGCCCTTTCTGTTTTAGGGTCTGTGGGCAAATTTTGCATCGTGTTGGAAATTTAAGGCCTGCAGAAGGTTGTCTGCCCAAATATTGTCAGCTGTATATCTATGATCCTAATGCAGCTTATTACATTGATTGATTGTTTTTATTGCATTTTTAATTTTCTTTTATTTATCTCTAGCTGCTGCTTCTTCTGTTACAAGTAAGTTGTTCTATTCACTTATACTTGACTTAATTTATGGATTAATTGGTTTTATTGCATTTTTAACTTTCTTTTATTTATCTCTAGCTGCTGCTTCTTCTGTTACAAGTAAGTTGTTATATTCACCTTTACTTGACTTATTACATTGATTGATTGCTTTTATTGTACCTTTTGTTTTTTAATATAGCTACAAATGTGCTTTCCAGTTTAATTAGTTAATGTAATAAGTCAAGTATTAGTGAGTAAAATAAATAAGTTGTTGTGCTCACTTGTACTTAATTTATTACATTATTTGCTTTTATTGTTTTTTTACAGTAGATTTTTTGTAAGTATTACCTAGGTAGATAGTTGTATTTATATATAATTTTTTTTTCAGGCTCGAAATCATGGGAAGATTTCCGAAAGTATCGCTCCCAGCATCCAGGCCCTCTATCTATGAGGGCCTTCCATCGCTGGTGTTTGTTTGGGGACGACCATCCCTCCTTTAGATGGAGGGATGGCACACCATACAACACGGGGAATAGAGCGGATGCTGGGAGGAGAAGACAACGTGGCTCAAAAGTTGTCAATAATTTTTTTACATTTTAAAATGTAAAGAAATTGACAACTTTTGAGCCACTTCATTTTTTTTTTGTAATATATTTTTGTAAATTTATTTTTGTAAATTTATTTTTATTTTGTTGTTTTTTAATTTTTCCCATGAATGTTAAATGTTATCAAAGTAAATCATTTAAATAAAGACACCTTTATCAACAATGCTCATTAACTAGAAATAAAAGTCACGGTCATACATTTGATAAAGTTAATGTTAATCTCAAAGGGATTTGGTTTTCACACAATCAAATTCTATGTAGCACCTTCTAGAACTAAGAATATAAGTGTGTGGTGTTAGTAGTTTAAAATATGTATAATAAACTCAGAATAACTCAATAACCCTCAACAAAACTATGAACTAATTTTGAAATTCAAGTTGAGCTTTTTTATTTATTAATACCTCCCCTCCCAATAACTTTAATTTTCCTTAAAAAACTAATTTTTTTGTCCTTTGAAGGTGGTTCTGCTATTTAATTAATTGTTGTGATGTTTTATGCAAATAGATTTAGCTCACATTCATGTTGGTCTGTCAGGGTTATGTAAAAATAAAAAAGTAAGTTTCTTATTCGCATATTTGAGTTTTCAAAAGTATTGATTGCATGACATGTTAATTTGTAATTAATGTGTATGATTATTCGTTTAAATAACTTTGTTCCATTTTTAGTTCCGTTTCTTATAGCTGACTTGATTATGGCTTACCTAAAGCTTAATATTTATGAAACAATGATTCAATTTAAATTGTATTATAAGTAGCTCTGTTGAATAAATTTTTTTTTTGTAATTTGTACTAAAGGTTATATTTTTATTTTATATCAAGAAAAATATGTTTTTAAGTAAATATCTATATTTTTTTATTTTGGGATTTATTGTTTTAAATGGATATAAAAATCATTTTTGCTTTGTCTTTCATATTTCCTTTTATTATATATGAATAGTAACCATTTATGCTTTAATCACCATTAGCACTCGAAGTTTCCATTTGCATTAAGTATCGATTTTTGGCACACACAACAGGTTTAATAACTTAGGCAGTAAAAACAGCTTGAATGATTTGTTAAGAGTCTTTAAAGAAACGCTTTTACGAAAAGCATTAAATAGATAAAGCTAACTTATTTAAAATAATAAGTCTTTAACCCGTTTTTCTATATCCAAATTTACTTTTTAAATAAATGTTGATGAAAGGGTAAAATATCGTTATAGCCTACGTTAATTTTAAATTCTTTTTAAATTAAAGAAAAGAGTTTTGATACTTATTTAAATAGGGTTAATAAAATATTTTAAATTATATTATATATATTATATTTAAGAAATTATTAAACTAAATTAAATAAGATTTTTAGATGAAACAGTAAAAATAATTGTTTAAAATACGTGCGTGCAAATAATTCCTTTAAATACTAAACGTAAAATAACGCTTACAAACACCAAAAGTATGTTTGCAGTGAATAAAGTTAAGTTCAAAGATAAATAGGAAGAAATGTTTAAAACTGTTTCAATAATAACATTTATTTTTAATTACTTTTGTTGTAAGTTGGGATGAAAAAAAAAGGTCACTGGAGTATGAACTCCCGGGGTAAGATGACTATATCTGTCTAAGTGTTGCGCGTCTACCAATTAGCCCATAAACGTATTTTCTATTTAGAATTTAAGATTATTTATGACGCATAAGAAGTGTAATTAAAAATTCAAAACCAAGTTTGCAACAACTGAATTTAAATAAAATCTAATTAGATGTGTATATGTTATGAACGTTAACTAAGGCGTACTTTAACGGCGTCACGTGTTGAATGTTTTAGCATTTTTCTAAGTTCGTAGTCTTTTTTACGTTTTTTCTTATTAAAATTTTTATAATTGGCATAATATTAAAATCGTTTGAAGTTTTTAAAAGAACATTTTAACAGAAATGTTTTTGTCATATCAAAAAGTAAGTATAGTTTTTTATATGTACATTTTTAAACGGTTTTAAAAAATATTGAGGTAAGGAATAAGTATAGAAAAGGTCGGTGTAGAATAGATTTACTAAGACCCTTAGTTTACGTCCGGATAGCTATAGATAAGTATAAAAATGGTCGGTTCGGTAAAGACCCGTATTTTACGGGTCACCCCAGCTAGTTTTTATATTAATACACTAAGGAATATTAAAAACTAAGTTATATATTTATATTTATAGTTTTATAATAAAATTATTTTTTGAAAGTATGTGTTATTAAGTTTTTACATCAAATATTAAGTCGAAATTTAGTTACTTGAAATGGTCAAACAGCATTAATAGACTGTAAATCCATACCCATGTATAAAATTAATTGGGTAATCCTAAATTTTTTTTATTAACTTTTGTTATGCAACATTGTAAAAAAATAAGTTTATCTTCTAGCTCGTTGTTTGTTGTTGTGTTGTGATATTGTAAAGAGTTAGATTTATATAAAAATTTTTTTTACTGTTACAGCTATAAATAACATTGTTCAACCTGCTTATTTTCTCCACCTGTTGTCATATTACCTCCTTTTTATTTTAAAATTGTCCAGAAATAAACTGTAAGTGTAGTTAGACCTGGCCACTGCTCAAACAAGTTCCATCTTTTGTTTCATTAACTAAAACTCAACCTCGCATGACTTCTCATTCAGCAAAGTTGCATTTTTTTGCATTTTATATCATTGCTTTATAAATATACTTTTTTCATTGTATTTTAACTTAGTCTTAATTGTATCATAACAATACGATTAATACAATAGCTTTTTTTAATTTATTTTTTGTTTTCTCTTTCATTGCTTACGTAACAGAAACCAGAATAAAAAATTAAAATATCTGAAACCCATTTTTTTTATGATAATTTTATGGTGAGAATTAAATTATAGTTTAAGGTAATTCAAAATTTCAATTGCTCAAAGTTTGTTTTATTTAAAAATATTACTTGACGTGTGAATATATTATTTTTCTGGGATTTCAGATACTAGTAAATACGTAATGTATGTTTACTTAACTAGTAATGGATATTAAAAAAATATTAAGTAAAACAAAAATTTTTTATTGCATCATAAAAAAATTAAAAACTAAAAGCAGTTTTCTGCATGTTTTATACATATTTGATTTGATAATTATACGATAATGATTTGATGATAATTAATAATATATTAATTATCATCAAATCATTATCGTATATAATAAAGTAATATATGATATGATTATTGATGAGTTTGATATAAATTAATAAACTAAATTTGCCTTAAGAGTTCATAGGTGTTAATATGAGGTAACAAAGTAGTTTAAACAGCATAAATCTCAATAAAATATTTTTTTATAAAAAGATTTGAACATATGTTTTAAGTTTTTACTAATATTTATATAATATATAATTAGGAAATAAATAAAAAAATTAACAAAAAATGTTAAGATTTCATAACTAATTTAATAATTTATACCTCAAATATAATAATTAAATAAATATTTTTAAATTTTCACAAAAAAAAATAAAAAAAAATTGAACTTTACCAAACGCAATATTAGAAAAGGTAACAAACGAACACAAAATGATAAAAAAGACAATTCCAAACATTGATAAAGGATACCACGCAGCTTTTAATGTATAAGAAATCATCGAAACATGATGGTTAAACTGCAAAAGTTTAATAAACTTTAAAGTCACAAAAAAAGTAATGAGTGAAACAATGCATACATACATCATATCACAGTACGATGCTAGCTGAAAGTTTATAAACACATGCGGTTTTTTATCTGGAAGCCGCTCCAATAGTTTTTTTGCTAGATATTCTAAAAGAATCATTTAAAATTAATATAAAAAAAATAGTTGTGAATCGCCAATAAAAATGAAAAAAATAACAAATATCAGCATGAAGAAATATAAATAAAATAACTATTTAAAAAAACATTAACAATAGAAAAATAAAACTTGTTTTTACGATATCATAAATAATATTTTTATTTTTTTTCAAAAAATACTTAAGCTAAAGATTAGCATTAAAAACTTATTATTTCTTCAATAAATTCATTCTCCACTAGCAAGTTCATCTGTATGCTTCATGATAAACCTACTGATGGAAAAACACTTATTGAAGAAGTGATTAGATAAGAATTTTTACTTATTTATTGTTACTCATTTCTTTAAGAACATTGAGCACTTAATTTTTACAAATATATATATATATATATATATATATATATATATATATAGTATATATATATATATATATCTATATATATATATATATATATATATATATATATATATATATATA